TAAATAATAAATATGTTAGGCAGCTGATGATGAATTATCGAACATATAAAATGATATCATTAAGAGGTCAGAACTACTTTCGGCGGGGGTTTGAGGATTTAAAACTATTTTTTCTTAAATGCTATGATTATTATTTACAATATTATATACAATATTATATATGATTGATGAATGGACGCCGATGGCCCAGAAACCTCTATGATAATGAACAAAGTTCTTTACGTACTGAGTCGCAATTAAATTTTCGTCTCTACTTGAATATTTTAACTTTAAAGTACTACTTTAATAATGCAAAAACTTTGTCGTTCTTTTAAATGCTGATTGATAGAAAACTGTCAGTTTTGGTTAAAAAACAATTGGAAGACTCTATTAAATATGTGAACAATATTGAGCCCATTTCGTTTATTTTATTCTTAAAAATTATCAATTTCTTTGAGACTGAATATAGCTTCGTTTTCAGTGCTATTTGACAAGTGATTTAATAAGATCTAATAAGAATCTGACTATACTATAATTGTGCGAAGAATTTTGCATGCACCTGTTGTGCTATCACAATTTTTTGTGTCTGTGTAAGTATCGACGGATCATACTTTATGCATGTAAGCAATATCCGATGTACTCCATATCCTTCACCTGTCGCGAAAACAGGTAATTTCGCGAATGAATGCGCGACCAGATGTCGCATTTGTGGTAAAAATACACGACGACCTTCAAAAGAAGTATACAGGTATACAGAAGGAGACAGGTGGTAATTTAGGGTTTAGTTGCCAGGATAGTTGGTACCAATTAATACAACGTCACAAGAAAACACGACATATAAGAAAATGCCTATTAAGATAAAAGTGATAGGCTCTCAATATTCGATATTTATTTGTTCTATGTTGTTATCATGTTTTTCATATTTAATTTTCTGTCTAACGACACGAGAGTTTGAGATTTTCCGTTCGTGCAAATTTTTACATGACTATCGCCAACTTCCGTCATCTTCCGAACTTGAATAGTTTCAAAGAAATGAAACATATGGAACGCAAAAAATGTCGTCGTCTCGATAGTCGCCCTAACTGTAGACGAACAACCGGTTTGCCATCGGGCTTATAATCTCGCTTCTTGTCTTTCTAGAAACTTTCCCCGGAATTTTTCGAAATCTTTTTTCCGGTACCAGTTGGGTTTCACTTTACAGGAATGACTAGAACAGCAACAAGAGTTTTCAATCTTTTAAAATATGTATGAATTGGAAATTGATAATTATTATGCATATTTATAATAAAAATTAAAATAAAGAAACGTTTGTTTAATAAAAAATCATATTGTTACGATAGAGAACATGAATCATCGACACGTAAAAATATGAAAAAGAATATGAATCATCGATTACGTTCTGACATGCGGTTGACGCAAAATTATGTCTGAAATTTATGTGCGTAAATTTGACGAGCTTACCGCAGGTTGTCTTGTTCGGACAGTTCTTTTTAGGACACGTATCAGACAATATACATTTTCTGTTCATCACGACACTGAGTAAAACGTATATAATAATTTCTACAAAGGAGTCCCTCGGTGTTGACATATTATCGAGTGATGCGTTTAGAATGGCATTGGGATTTCGCGTTGCACATTTCATGTACCTCGTGAAGATTTAATTTTACCAAGCATTTCCCGCGCAGTTTCATTAGTGCGCTCATTCCGTTAATTCTCTATAGATTATAAATTTCGTCGAATCTCTTGTATATGCGCTTTGTCTCAATTAATTTTAATCATTACGTTGAATATTCTGTATAAAATGTGGCATACCGGTCGTGCTAAAATCGTGAACGAAATTGCAACATCCCCACGTTCGGGCGCGTTTGGATGAATGATTCATATTCCTCTAGTTTTTGCTTTTATTAATTTACTTTTATTTCGTTGACAAAGAATATATATATATATATATATATATATATATATATATTTATTAACTCATATATTTTTAAACTCACACGTACTCGTATCTAATTTACGAACGAATGTAGAACAGACTGGGGCTAGATAGCCCCAGATTTTTCAGAATTTCGTAATTATAATTTTCTTAGACAACTAATTGTTATGACTAATTATATAAACATAATAAATAACTTTTTTATATGTGTTTATGCTTACAACATCTCTCTCTCTCTCTCTCTCTCTCTTTCTCTCTCTCTGTAATAACTCTGTAAACTGTATATTTTCTTATATAATAACCAAAATACAAGCATGCTGCAACGTGGTCATCTTGCTTTGGTACCGATTCAAGTTAGCTAATAATACAGAATAAGAAGACCACATATAAAATATCTATACTGATTAATAATTCCGGGATCTCCACAAAAAATTTCTACAGCTTTGATAGTTCTTAAATAGTGGCCAACTTTATTTCGTCTATCCATATGCTCGATTTTAATTATTTTATGAATGAAAATTGTTTTTATATGTTATTTGAAATAACATATTATACACCTACACGAAACTTCATTTTAACTAATAGTACATTACTTAAGTTTACTTGCTCACACACAAGTTAGGGAATATTAAATTACGAATACTAAATTTCGAGAAACTCAAAAATTTTACTTGGATGCTCCTAAGTCAGTTTTTTATATTTTCTAGTTGTAATATTATATCAATTAATGAATCTCGGAGAAAAGTATCTGTGATCTAGAAAAAACATTTTGCCATTTCGTTTTTATTGTTATGATAAATACATAAACAAAATATATAACAGTATAACAAAATATATAACATCTTGAGCCGACTAAACGGGGCCTTCCTTATCAGGCCTTCCTTATCAGGCTTTCTTTACCTTGACAGTAATACCAAGTATCTCTGAAACATACTGCTGCGTACTTCATTTTAATTTCTTTCAAGAATTTCATTTAAATTATGCATAAAAGTTATATTAAAACAATAAAAGAACAATAATCACAAATTAATTAAAGAACGCGACCAAGTTACCTATTTGCGGTATTCGAAATCTTAAATTATTTTTTAATAAAATTATAGTTACTCATGAGTAGATTAAAGATATATAAGTATCAAAGTGATGCTTCTTACAATTTGAGAGAAAATTGTCCAAGAAAAATATTTTATCGAAATAAATGGTATTGTTAGAACCTTTATAAGAAACATATAGGAAATGATATAAGAGAAATGAATTTTTATTAATAAAATAATATGGCTTATAAATGCTAATTTATTATTTTATTAATTTAGGGTAATATTGATCTTATTTAGGGTAATATTGATTAATTTAAGGTTATTGATTAATTTAACTTTTACCAAGTTCTCTGATTAATCGTCGATATAATTAGCAGTATTCGGTCATTTATTCCCAAATGATGAACCGCATCATTTTGATACTAACATATCTTTAATCTACCCATCAATAGCTACAATTTTATCAAAAAATAATTTAAGATTTCAAATGTCATAAAAATGAGACTAAAAGCTTATAAGAGCTTAGCCGCTTTTTTTACGTCTAATATATAAAATAAGTGTTACCATTAGGATTAAAGAAAAGCATATATATATTTAAGTAAATATGTTATTATTACCCGTAGAATAAATATTTTCACTTTTAAATATTTTTTCTCTCAACGTACTGTGTATGCATTGATCAACCTTTGCCGCGAGAAACATAATACATGGTTACAGTTCAGGAAAGCAAATCATGGCCGTAGTAACGACGAGTAATTAGAGCACGACCGAAGAAGCTAAAGTGTTACTTTTCGTGGTTTCAGAAACGGTTTATTTCTCCCAGATAAAATCATACTTCAACGAAAGACTTCACCGTATTTTTTGTCATTATTGTATGAAAGAAGAAAAGAAAATAATACTATGTCTCGCGAAAATTCAACGATTCATTTACGAACTCTCAACGGATTTTCAGCGATTGAACACCGCTGATCGGCATACAGATTCTCTTGTGTACATATACAGTTATAGAGCTATGTATCTGTGCGATTAAATGCATCTCCGGTTAACGTTAGATACGGGTGTGTGCATTTCTCCATCCTTTGTTTCCTCTCGCTCCCTCGTCCTCTCCTGATATAGTGGTCAGAGTGCGTGGCTCCGGTTTACCTTCCTACGCGCGATCCTCGTGTACCTCTCTGGCGAACCGCTGTATATATTGGTGTCGCACATACGCTACATGCGCGAAATACCGTTTGAACACGGATCCGCCGATTACGACAGTAGATGACGCACAAAGAACCGAGTGATGCACATTATTTGACTCGCGAATAGTTTTTACATGAGCGTTATTTTTTTTTACGCAACGACATTTACGAGATGTTAAGCTCGTCGTATTTGTCGAACAAGATTGAAAACGAAATTTATTTCCAGTTGCAAAGTTTAAGCAATTTTTATTAATAAGGCAAATAACATCGACTCGATATTTTTCAGACATCTAACGGGATCTTCATGTTTCTTTTCTATCTGAATCAGTAAATTTCTAGCTTGAATATAAAAAGAAACGGCGGATCTTTTGCGCATTAATATAATATTAATAAATAAATTATTTACATTTTTACTCTTGTATAATAATTCTTTAAGTTACATGAGTGCAAATTAGAAGTATATATTCGATGATCCATTTCTCTCTTGTGTACTTATTTTGTCGTTTGCATCGGAAATTAATATATTTCTAAATTATATTATTACGTAAGACATTATTATAATATTGATGAAATATTTATGAGCCTATATTTTCCGAAAAATTAAATTCGAGACACAGTTACAGAAATATTTATGTACTATTAATTAATGCATTAGAAATAAGAAAAATAAAATAAAGGTCAATAAAAAGTTTAATTTTATATGTATTTTAATTTTAATTTTAATTTATTTAACTACAAATATTCTTTCTCCAATTCGCTTTTGGAAATTATTATAAATTAAAATGTAAATATGAAAAAAAAAATTTCTTTTTAAAACCCTTCAATAAGATGTTTTGTTAACATTTTACAATGTAAATGCCTTAGATTTGTGACAATATATTTTTTCACGTATAATATAAAGAAAATAATTCCAAATGTGAAGAATATCTAATTTTGTGCATAATTTATGCAACCAACCGAAACAAGATTGACACTGCAATCAATCATTTTTTAATTTTGTATTAAAGTAGTTTTGATCACATACTCGTCAGTGTGTGTTTTTGTCTGATAATTAATCAGATCTCGAATCCCAATGAGTTCGCAAAGTTTTTGTACATAATTCCACCTCATATCTGTAAATAATGTGCATAATTAGTGTGGTATATTACATATACTGCATGTAAAGTATTTAGTAATTTCTGTAGTACAAACTACATTGTTCATAAAAAAATTAAAAATAGATAGCAGATTAATGATAAGCGCAGATAAAATTGTAAAGAATTACTGTATTACTCATATAAAAACGCATAAGAGTAATGTCTAAACGTTATAAACCGTTTCTAACTAAAATATGAAATTGTGGACAATTTACCTGAATATGCTCTGCAACATTAATACCTTTTTGATATATTTAATAGCAATGCGATATTCAAGTTCGCTCTGTATCCTGATGAAAGACTAAAATATGTCAGAACATACTATTCTCATGTCGTCTCCATGTTTAGTTTTAGAAAAAAGAATGTGCAGCATTTTATTCAACTGAGACGTATTGCATAATTTTACTTCATACAAACTGAAAAACCTTCGTAGACAAATGTTCCAAGTTGATTGGAGAATACACCGACAAAGTTCGATATTCAAAGTTCAATTCAATGAATTAACTTGCGGCTAAATTGACGTTTACAGTACTTGTTCAATAGGTAGATATATAAATACTTTAATAGGTAGATATATAAATACTTTAATAGGTAGATATATAAATACTTTAATTATATAGATATATAAATACTTTAATAGATATAACAATTTATATTTATTATGAGCCAATTTTCAGAAAGTAAACAATCCGACCTATGGATTTATCCGAGCCACAAGCAAACATTTATTGATGTGCTCTATATAACTTCGCGTAATATTTAAAAAATGAAACAGGTTAGTTGCAATGATAAAATTAAATCGCTTTTATATGAATCATCCAGAAAAAGAGGGGGAGGAAGGGAGGGGGAAAAGAGAGAGCAGATGTTGGAAGAGAATTCCGAATTTTTTTCTAAAGAGAAGATAATGACTACATCACGAGAAAATGCAAGCGCTTCTCAGATGTCCAATAAAATAACATTATGCATATTAAATAACTCTATGCATATTGTATTTTTTATTCTTAAATTGTATACTATTTTTAAATTTAGTTATTCACTACAAATAAACCTTATAAAGTATTTATATATTTATACATTTATACGTATATTGCTCAAAAATATCTATTTTGAGTTTGTAAAAAATATGTAGTTTTTCAATAAACAATGATCTCTTTCTCTCTCTGTTCATGGATTTTCTCAAGAAATCAACTTTTCTTGTTAAAATCTGATTAGATTCATCATTTACTGTAAAAAAAGTTACGAATTTCTTTAATAAAAAGTGAATTTTGAAGTAACATATATTTCATTTTTTTATTATAATTTTGTTTAACTTTATTAAATCGCAAAAATATTAATACACTAAGAAACAAGCGGTTGGATTGACAAAATCAGCGATCATCGGCTATCAAAGAAATATTGGATCTATTCAACAAAATATATATTAATGCAACAATAAGTTGCATTGATATAATGATTTCAACGTAACTTATTGTTTTTCTTAAAAAACTTATTTTTTTTCAGTATAGATTCATATTCCTTTATAGTCCTCACATATTGGTAAATGGTAAACACTAAAACAAATCAGATTACAAGGCGAATTGGATCAAAATAAATTTCGTTAGTTTAGCGTTTCAAACGAACTGTTTTATTGTGTCAGAAAAGTAACGATAATTGTCTCCAAACTTATTTCAATCCGACTTGCTCTGTGATCCGATTTGTCTTGATTTACTCCCCAGATAACACAGGATGTCCTATGGACATCCATTTTATGTTCATTTTACGTCCGCACATCCATGGACATGCAGTGGACATCCGTTAATGTCCATAATTTGGATGTCCATAAAATATCCAATCTTGGACATAAATGTCTTAAGTATAAAATTCGACTCCCAGGTAGAACACAGATGTCATGATGACATCAGTAGAACGTCATTATGACATAATTTGTCACTTAAATGCCATTGATAGTAATATCAATACTTGAAAATTTATAATAATAATTTATATATACGTAACACAAGGTTGTCAGGTGTGGCGCAATTGCGTCAATGTGGCTCTTTGACTCAGATAGAACAGATAGTCAAAATAATGTGAATCTGACGTCATTTTGAACAAATATTGACCAAATTTACGTAACTTTTTGTTGAAAATAACGTCAGATTGTAATTATTTTGACTATCTGTTCTACCTGGAATTAGTCGATTATAAAATTGGCTATGTTCGGAATGTACTGCTAATACTGAAAACTCTACAGTTCATGTCACATATAATATAGATTTTCAGTACTGGGGCCCTATTCCGTAACCACTTATCGATCCGATAATTGACAATAAGTGGTTACGGAATAACGATCCTGGCATGAAACTTCAAACGCAGCCTTGTGTAAATACTCATTTAAAACAAAAAAGTACAATACTTTCAAAATGAATAAGGAACTATAACGACTTATTTTTTAATCATTATTATATCACATTATCCTCATTTTGATGTCAAATGGACATTATTTTGATGTTATTGTGATTTTCTGTTTTAGATTTTCAATTTAAACAAATATTCAGAGTGCATTCAGAAACGTCCTGGGGATGTCTTATGGATGTTCTATGTCTTCATAACGTACCTGAACATTTCTTGTGCTGTTAGGAAAGAATCACTATAAAATCATTCCGATATGTCAAGAATTCATCACATATTCATCAAAATAACTACATCAAATAATATCATGATGATATCTCTTGAAACGACTTTCATGTGATGTGATAGTGATATTTTTATGAGTTTATGTTCTACTTGGGCTATAGGCATGTTAAGAACGCGTTATCAACGCTACATATCATTCTATCCCCAGGCAGCAACGTCACGTCATTTTCACGTCGATAAATGGTTACCAGTCCTAGACGTCATGTAACCAATAACTGACGTTTAAAAAATTTTGACGTGATAATAACGTCATTTAAAGACGTTTATGGTACGTTTTTAAGATGTCATTTTTAGTCAGCTGTCCGAAACAAAGAATGTAACAGATATTTACCTAATATTCATTTATATCGAATGTAGTTTATGTAACCAACAGATTATTATTTATACACATTGTTATTTATTTTTTATATGTTTGCATCTCAAGCATTTGACTCCTAGAAATAAGCCTTATAGAACTTGTCCTATCATTTCTTACTCACAAGCATTGCATCCTTGCAATTATCCAGTTAGTAGGATAATGTTCAAAGATGTGTTAATGAGAAAATGTTGACTCAGATAGCACAAAGATGAATAGAAGTTCATAGAGAATTCTCACAGATGGTTGGCTATTTGGGTTAACTTGTATATTTATATACAATATATATATATATATATATATATATATATATATATCCTATGATATATATATCCTATATATATATATAGAA